TCCCCCTTATCAATGTTGTGTAACACCTCGGACGTATAACACACTACAGACAACATTGAACGGGGGAAAGGGGGGGTTGCTATGCTTGTTATTGAAGTGGGAGTCAAATTTCGCACAGTCAGTGTCAAGCGCGCCAATATTTTTGACCGGGATTGTAGATACTGTTCCGAAATATCACTTACTCGAACCGTCCTGACCGCGTAGCTCAGTTGGAAGAGCATTGGGCTAGTATTCCATAGGTCGTAGGTTCGAATCCCACCGTGGGCAGGCATATTTTTCAAGCTCGTGCGGTGTGGATATGCACTCAGAGTAACATCGCAAACATATTATTCACCTGAGTACACAACATCAACACAGAAAAAAATTCATATTACTAGAACACATTGGTATTGAAGGAACTAGATACTGTTCCGAAATATCACTTACTCAAACCATCCTGACCGCGTAGCTCAGTTGGAAGAGCATTGGGCTAGTATTCCAAAGGTCGTAGGTTCGAATCCCACCATGGCCGGGCATATTTTTCAAGCTCGCCCGGTGTAGATATGCACTCAGAGTAACATCGCAAACATATTATTCACCTGAGTACACAACATCAACACAGAAAAAAATTCATATTACTAGAACACATTGGTATTGAAGGAACTAGATACTGTTCCAAAATATCACTTACTCGAACCGTCCTGACCGCGTAGCTCAGTTGGAAGAGCATTGGGCTAGTATTCCAAAGGTCGTAGGTTTGAATCCCACCATGGCCGGGCATATTTTTCAAGCTCGCCCGGTGTGGATATGCACTCAGAGTAACATCACAATCATATTATTCACCTGAGTACACAACACCAACACAGAAAAAAATTCTTATTACATGTATATACACAAGGCTGTCGGAAGTAAATCAATATTGGGATGGGGTCTCAAAAATAAATTGGAATTGCTTTTGCACTTTTCTAGTTCTTTTGTGTGTGTTTGCTCATACAAATGGATTATGGGGGGGGGCTTATGCCACCCCCCCCCCCCACTTCTGACAACCTTGATACATGATCTAATTGGTACCTGGCTAGGCCCCACCCACCTATGTTTTTTCCCAATGAAATTATTAATAAGAACGGTATGCTAAAAGAGGTTCAAACATGGGGGATGTTTCTGCAAAAGCTGGGTTTGCCTGATATCCCTATGTATAGCAAGCCTCCTTTAAGGTACTATCCTGTTTGAATCACTCAAACCTGATGCTCATTGCTAAGCAAGTGCACACAGGTTTGTTTTGAAAAATGCATTAATAAAACCAAGTCAGTATGGTGTTAAGCCTCAAAAACTGAAAACAATAGACTTGGCATAGACCCTTGACCCTTCCTGCAAGGGGTGCAAACAATAAAATTCGCTATAGATAAATTTGCAAGCGATGCAGTTATGCAAACACAATGGTGATAACAATTAACAATATATTCAAGGTGGCATCCTTAACCTTGCTACTTGCACATGGTGCAAAGGCTATAAAATGATTGATTAATAGAAATTAATGTAACAACATTTTACCTGAGATTAGACAGGGACTATTTTGATCAGCCTTATGTCTTTAGTTTGACAGAGTGCAAAAGAAACATTCCGTATATTTTGGCAACTTCATTCGGATCTTGGCCAAATATGGAAATAGCGTTCCTTCTCCAGATATGTCGAACCAAGAACTACTTGCCAATGTCTGCACTCTACAAGAGTCAAAATAAGATCGATATTTTTAAATATGCACATATATTAATAAATTGCGACAATTGATACAGAGGCTCTGGGGGAATAAGGCAATAGAATGTCATTAAAAGGTAATCAAACTTCAGCGCTGTAATAACTCTGAATACAAGATGGTGGTATATCATCTGTATTGAATTCCTCAGTCCACTTATTTATACTATCTACAGCACCGGTAACCCAAACATACATATATTGTTGCACCTTCTTTCTAAGTCTAATAAAACTAAATTATTAAAGTTTTAAAAATGAAAAATGTCCATAAATGTCAATAAGCTACTAGATTACTATTAAAGTTCTAAATATGAAAAATGTCCATCAATGTCTACTTGTTTCTAAGATGTCAATTACCTACTATAGTTTTTTTTATTCGCTTTTTTTTTTAAAAAAAACATTAAGATAATATACTTTATAATGAATTAAACTGATATACTAGACAAAATCAAGACATATACCTGGCAGGTCTTCTGATGACTCTGCCACTAACTTTACTTACAACTGGTGATTTCACTAATGTCCCATTAGTTTCTTCTTGTATGCTATTGCCACTTGTTTCAATTTGCTTCTCACCATATACTCCCACTGTATCATACTCGCTATAAACAGGTTCTTCCATGTCTATTGTACTGGTCTTCTCTGGACTTGAACGAATTTCTTCTGAAGTCTTTAGTATATGTTTTCTATTCGTCCGGTATTCTTTGTTATTAGTGGTCACAACAAAACTATCTAGGTTCTCCTTGTTTAGATTCTCCCACTAACCTGGCTGGTTCCCAGGTGTTTCCGCATCTCATCCTCACAGTATCTCCCTCCTGTAACGGTGTTAAAGTTTTACTTCCTCGGTCAAAATATTTCTTCTGGATTTTTTGCTTCTCTGTTAATGATTGTTGAACCTTTTCTCCATCATATGCCATTGGCTTTAACAAGGACTGCTTTATAGGTATAAGTGTTTTACCACGACGGCCCATTAATAGTTGCTTCGGTGATAAACCAACTCCCTGTATTGGAGTATTTTGCAATTACAAAAGTGCTAAACGAGGATCGCTCCCATCATCACAAGCTTTCTTCAGCAATTTCTTTGCTGTCTGTATAGTTCTCTCGACAAACCCATTACTTTGTGGAAAAGTTGGTGATGATTTATCTTGAATTTGCTTAGTAATACCTGGCCAAAATAGACAATCTCTTGCTCAATTAAGACATTTCTCCATTCCCAAGTGACTACTATGTATCTTGTCTACCATTTCTGGACGAAGAGCAGATGGTGTAATTAGACGATCACATTTTAACAAGTGTCCGTCACAGATACATAATTCATCTCTGAAATTCCAATATTCTTGTAAATCTGGGTCTACTTCAGATATTTTATCTGGCCAACCTAGCAACACTGTTTCTTTAAGTTTTGCCATAATGGGATCTCGATCTAGTTCCCTCTTAAACTCTTCCGGTTTTTCTTGGGATATTGGTACCAATAAATGAACTTCAAATTCTTCCTTATTCATGCACTCTGACATACTGACATTTCTGGACGAAGAGCAGATGGTGTAATTAGACGATCACCTTTTAACAAGTGTCCGTCACAGATACATAATTCATCTCTGAAATTCCAATATTCTTGTAAATCTGGGTCTACTTCAGATATTTTATCTGGCCAGCCTAGCAACACTGTTTCTTTAAGTTTTGCCATAATGGGATCTCGATCTAGTTCCCTCTTAAACTCTTCCGGTTTTTCTTGGGATATTGGTACCAATAAATGAACTTCAAATTCTTCCTTATTCATGCACTCTGACATACTGACATTTCTGGACGAAGAGCAGATGGTGTAATTAGACGATCACCTTTTAACAAGTGTCCGTCACAGATACATAATTCATCTCTGAAATTCCAATATTCTTGTAAATCTGGGTCTACTTCAGATATTTTATCTGGCCAGCCTAGCAACACTGTTTCTTTAAGTTTTGCCATAATGGGATCTCGATCTAGTTCCCTCTTAAACTCTTCCGGTTTTTCTTGGGATATTGGTACCAATAAATGAACTTCAAATTCTTCCTTATTCATGCACTCTGACATACTGACATTTCTGGACGAAGAGCAGATGGTGTAATTAGACGATCACCTTTTAACAAGTGTCCGTCACAGATACATAATTCATCTCTGAAATTCCAATATTCTTGTAAATCTGGGTCTACTTCAGATATTTTATCTGGCCAGCCTAGCAACACTGTTTCTTTAAGTTTTGCCATAATGGGATCTCGATCTAGTTCCCTCTTAAACTCTTCCGGTTTTTCTTGGGATATTGGTACCAATAAATGAACTTCAAATTCTTCCTTATTCATGCACTCTGACATACTGGTCTGACTAGCACGACTAAGAGTATCTGCAATATACAATGTTTCACCCGGTATATATTTTACCTTCAAATCATATTGCTGTACTTTAAGCATCATTCTCTGTAAACTTTCCGGAGGCTTATGATCTGTCACAGTGTTTCCATAAATATATTGATGAAACCTGGTGGCACCGAACACAATTG